CCATTCCCTACTAGTCAATGCAGTGCTAGTTAAATCAGTCCTCAAATGAATCAGGAGTCTAGACAATATACAGCAGTGTACAAAGGATGCTGTGGCAGCATGTTTGCCCAGAAAATGAAGCAAATAATAAATAAATAAGGCATTTCTGCATCATAGGGTAAAGGTTTTCAAAATGTGACTCAATGGGAGAGTTTTCAGAGAAGAGTTCTAAAACTGTTTTATGGCTCAAAAATAACAGACTTCTGATGGTAAACTAAAATAGTTCAACTTATTTAGCTTCTTATAGACAAGATGAAAGACGTTTTAATCAGCCTCTCTAAGAAAGTGTGAAGGGGGATGACACCTGACACCAAACAACTCTTTCATCTATCAGGAATAGCCACAAAGATCCCCAAGTTCAATGCTGAAGTTGGCAGAATTCAAACTAAATTAGGTGCAAATTCTTCATAGGAATGGCACTTAACCACTGGAAGAGATGGCCAAAGGAAAGCGTAACTTTTCTATCATCTGAAGTGTTTAAAGCTAGATAAAATGTCTTTCAAGAAAATGTGTTACACTGCTATCATTACTTTTGGGGTTAGCTGCAGAAAATCATTTGGTGAAATTTTATGGTCTCTGTTTAGCAAGAGCTCAAACAGAGTGATCATATTCTGTTGAGGCTTCAAAGTACACGAAAAATGGCAGTTAGGTACGATTTTAGAGCAAAAATAATGACAGGAGGTGAAATCACAGCCTCACTGAATCTATGAGAAAGTTGCCACTCCCTCTAATGAGACCCAGATTTAATCTGTAATTATAAAAACTGTGGCTATATTCACTGCATTTAAGATTGGGATTATACGCAGACTGCTTTGCTCAACCTCACCCATTTTCTTTTACTGCTATGATGTTTGCCATTTTATTTTGCACTTCAGATTCGTTCTGAATTAACTTTGTATGATTTACATTTTTTATGCACCTAGGGGTTTGCAAATGTGATCTCCTTTCAAGTAGTAGAGTTCAAAATGAAAATAAGAGAAAAATTCTGTTTCTTCTTGGCTTCATATGGGTAAGGGTCAAATGTTTCACTGATTATTTTCCGTAGAAGATGGGTGTTTCTACTCTTTGCCTGTGGTGAAGCTGCAAAATGGACATCTGTACAAATACATTTTCTGGATTATTCTCAGTGTTATCAACAGCTGAGTTCAGGCCAGGATTTCCATAAAGCCTCATAATTAAGTTCACTTTGAATAGAGTCAGGAATTACTATTGTGAATATATGGCATTCTGTATCCCCTCTCTACCACAGTTCTCCCTATTGCTCAAGCCTGAAAGAAAGAACCGTCAGCTATTCTTCCATACACTCATCTGGTCTGATGTGCACTGGCTGCACATAGTTGCTCTGAAACCATATGGATGGGTTTGGGCCACTGGAGTTCTTAAGCAGTTGCTTAGGTCTAATCCTTTTCAGGAACAAAGAAGGCATTAGAAGCCACATCTAATAGCCCCTTCCTAGAAATGGCTTTAAAGGAGGTGTGAAGAACTGGAGATCCATTGAAAATGTACAAGATCTTAGTACAGAAGCTGAGAGGCCCAGTCCAAGTCTGTTGACAACCAGCTTCATTTCACTGAAAATTAAAGGGCATCATATGGTTTGCTTCTTTCTCTTTGTAAAATGCTGATACAGCTTTGTGCAATACCACAGAAGTGTCTCTGGTCCAGATTCTGTCCTTACGTTACTCTGCGAACATGCACAGAGGCAGGAGATAGGAGTCTTGCACTAGAATACAACTACTGCAGTTCTTTACAGTACTATTTGAAGCCTGCTGGAGTCAACGGAAGACCCTTCACTGACTTCATTGCTTTGGATCAGAACCCCTGCTAGGGAGTCTTTGTCCTTGGCTTTCTTAAAAGAAGACTTCACTAGTGTGTGAACAGCGTTAATCACCCATGAACACTTGCTAAAGAGTGATCTGGTTTTTATGATACAGAAAACATGCTGCTGAAGCATGAAATCTTTTAATGAAGTCAAACAAAGCAAAAATTGCCCTCTATGACCTAAAGCTCAGCTCCTGAAATGTCGTTTTCTGGGATAATACATTCCCCATCTGTCGGTCTAGGCTTTTTCTTGCCACAGGTGAACTGATGCAGCCTTGGAGGTGTGCCATAGTTACTATGGTATTTTACTAGAGGCAAGAGATAGGAATTATTAATTGTTTATTTTACCCACCTGATGGAAATTACAGAAAATGAGCAGATCATTGCCCCTGAATTTGTTATTTTGTTTTCCTGACACCTAAATCAACTGTGTACCCTTAATCTTAACATTGAGAAACCAGTGGCATCACTAATGGGAGCTTGTTATTTAATGCAGAAGTCATTATTGATTTGTGAAATAATGTCAGTGAATGCAGAAAACTGAAATACAAAAATCTTTTGACAGAGTCTTTGCTACTACCTTTAGTCTTGACTGTCTTGGTATGGTAGGAATAGGGATGTCATTCTAATGAAAACAATTCACAATAAATATTTGTTCTTGTGCTTGTTTGTTACCTTATGGGTAAACGATATTGTGCATGTGTTTATTCCAAAGCTCACCGCAAATTCTCATTGATGGGACAGTAATTCTGATCTGATGTAAGGAATCAGTGCTGCCAGCACTGGGTGAGGTCTCACAGAGTTCACTAATGAGTCCTTTACTGTATTTACATAAGTGAAACTCCTGAAAATCATGATAAAACTGGTTCACATAGTTCATATGGCAGCAATTTATTGCCTGGCTGCAGATTTTTTAAATCTCTCTGGCACCACAGGGTTATTACAGTAAGTTAGAAAGACAGGCATTCTAAGTATGAACTTGCTGTTAAGATCTCAGAAATAGTGAGTGCTCTTGAATTGAAGCTTTGATGAGAAATAAATCCTTCTAGTGACACTTTTATGCCATGTAGAGATGTGGAAGTGTGAGCAACAGCACCTGGCAAACAAGCTGTCTTCTTTAAAAGCAAGCAAACCAGCTGCTCATCAGGCTGGAGAAGGATTTAGCAGGAAATAAACGTCTACTCAAATGTTCATTGCTCAGATCTGCAAGAGAAAACTCATTCTTTATAAAGTGTCCTCTGGATGCTGAGAAAAATTGCATTTATATCTTCTGTATTTTCAGACATTATGAAGAGTTCATATGTGAAAACAGGACTCACTTTCAAGTGAGCAACCTGCTTAACAGATCCATTTCTGGTCTTAACAGTTCTTTCATTTACAGAACGTAACCAGATAGGCAACAAAATCAACTTTCTTGTGGAGAACAAACAAAATTTGATAGAAACCTTCTGTTTCAGGATACAGTAGGGGTAGGATTTCTGGATTTGTTTTGTATGGGTCCCTCCTTTCCCTATCCTTGCATGTGCATCAGACAGATTGTCTCATTTAATAAGCCTCAATTGTATCAGTGTTCTGATTACAAAACCTGCTGTGGTTTAAGCACACTGACTAGATTAAGAAATTTTTACCCCTGCAGAGCAAGAGTAACAAAAATGTTTCTGTCTCTTCAGAGCCATAGACATAAAAGTGGTCTCACAAAACACTGGGGAAAAAAAAGGGTTAGGCCCCAAAAGTAGGTAAGATGATGCAAGCCTGGCATACTTAACTGTGTCCACATATTCCAACTGGACAAGGTATCTCACCTGATCCCTTCAGAAAATCATTTATTTACTTTTACAGCTGCCATATGCCATACCTCCACAACACAGAATTATTCAACAGCAGAAGAGAACCTAACTGTACCTAAGCTAACAGCAATAAGAGAAATAAATTCAAATGCAAGAGCATGCAAGAAACATGCATATATCAACTGATACCCCTCACAACCTCCAAAGGCCTGAAAAGTGTTTGGATGTATCACCTGAGTATTTTTTAGATTATCTGGACTTTTGCAAGTAATTTTATGACAATTATTTCAGTGCATTCAGTGTTATTCTGAGTACCAAAAGCCTTATTCAGATAACACTGCAATGCACTGAAAAGGTTTCCTTTTGATGAGTTCAAGCAATAACTGTCAGGGATCTATTTTAATCTTTAGGTAGATAATACCATGACAGTTGCCATCCTTCACCTTTTGGTTTGGTTTCTAAGGAGACTTCCCCTTTTTATTTTTCACTTGTTCTTGGCTTTAGTTTGCTTCTTATGAACTATCAAATCCACATAAATCTATCCCATCCACCAGACCCTCCTGCCAACAAAACTGTTTTCATTCCCTGCTGCAATCTTCATGTTTTCAGATGTGACAACCAGGGAATGAAAACAATACTGTAATGACCACAGTGAGAAAGCTGCCTGGGAACACTGATTGCTTCTTGAAGCATTCCCCTCAGTTATTTAAATAGTATTATGCTATCTCAAAGGTTTGTAAACTGAGATATGGAGAGATGAAGTTCCTGCCTGTGCTGCACCAAAACCTAAATAAACCACGGCTATGTGCCTTCTATATTACTCTGTCTCAGACTCCTGTCACACAAACACTTAAGCATCAGCTCATTTTTGCAGAACAGCTCTTCTGATTTCACTGGATTGCAGGGTAAATTTAAATTTAAAGATGTTCTCATTTTCAGACTCAGGACTTAGGCATGATATTTAGTTGCCTGTAAATCAGGCTTTACTGCCATTTAAGATGCTGTAGGTTATGCCTCCTGGCTTCCAGCTGCTGCTCCAGAATGGTGTAGGTTTATCTTCAGTCCTATGTTATCTATCAGCCCAGATGCCTCTGATGCCCTCAAGCATCTATGCTGACACCTGTATTAGCCCAGCTGTCATCACGCAGGAATGAGGGTTTCAGAACAACAGAACTTGCTGCAACAGAGGGAGAGAATAGCTTCTGTTAACTCCTAGGAGTGTGATCTGCAAGCAGAATCCCATCTACTGTACTTTTTACTTCCTAAATTGTACTGATGTCTTCAGAGGAATGGAGACCACCAAGATACAAAACGTTACAAGCTACAGGTAATGGAACCAAACAATCTACTACTTACCTGCAGTACTATGTCCCGTCCGTTTCGTGTGATGTTAACAGTATGAGGCTGTCCATTAGCCATGTTTCTGTGGTCGACGTCAATGTTATATGGCTCTTTGGTGCCTCCAAGGCTGTACCGGATTTGCAGATTCCCTAGTGAAAGAAACGTGAAAAGCACCCTCAGGTATTTTGATCTTTATTCACCAGCTATCTTCCCCTCTTTGTTTTCTCATACAACTGTTAGCGTTCTACACTTAAACTGCTGTCAGAGTTGGTCTCTGCAGTAAGGGAAGAGCTAGTGTTTAAGATTATAAAGCTGCTGGGCTGGAAATTGCTTCTAGTTTATAACCCACAAGTGTGCCAATGACCAGCATGTCAAAACTAGTGTTTGCAAACACTCCAGACTGCAAACCAAACAAATCAGAGCTGTGCCTTGAACAATATGGACAACTGGTACAAATTTGAACACATCAAGTACCACTTTATTGTTGAGATTGTTATCCTTGCTGCAATAAAATTCGTTGAAGTTAGACAAAGCATGAAAGAATAAACCACTGATATGCACTGAATAAAGGCAAAATTACAACAAATGAACACTGACACATAATCTACACAAGAGACTTTCTTGCTTTCTTATTTAATTGCTGCTGACAGGTGGACATTTATGGAAATTCAATAATATATGGTGAAATGAAAACTTCAGGTTACAGTGTTAGAAAAGTACAATCGAAAGTGCTTAATTGATATTCATGGCATTTTAACAGATAGATTTTTCTTTTCCAAACAGAACTGAAGTGTCTGCTCTTCTTAAGTGATTTTAATATTTGATTAAAAAGAAGAATTTTGCAAAGGGAAATGCAGACCCCATTACTCATCAAACCCAGAAATACCCTGTCCCAGAAGAGCAGCTCAACCCTTGCTAACTATAGTTTAGATGTTTGATGTGGGATTTCTCTCATGCACCTTCTTTCTTCCCCATGAAGGGGAAAAAATGAGTGGCATGTGCAATACTCATATTAATTTCTCCCGTAAAAGATCACGGTAATAAAATCATCCTAATTACGATTTTCACTGGGCACTCAGGCACTATTTGGAATCAAGGTATATTCAGTTTATATACAGCTTTAATACTGTAACAGCAAATGATCCATATCCAACCTTCAACCACCACCAAAATGTTTTAGCACCTTATATATTATGCTACATCCATATTTTAGCCACCTCAGTGGGCATCCAGGTATTCAGAAGCAACAGTGCACTGCACTTTCCACTGACTGCTGCCATGAGTTCCATGATTCAGACACCCACATGTGGATTCCTATTTGTTCCCTCCAAAATGTTAGTTCATGGCATGGATCTGACTGTTTTAGTAGGCTTTTTATGGGTGGGGGTTTTGGTTTGGTTTCGGTTTTTTGAGGTTTTGTTTTCTGTGTTTGTTTTCTTTTCCCCATTTTGCTTTGAGAGGAAGGGTTGACTAATGAAACCCCACTACATCACTACAAGCAGAACAGAGGTTAAGGTCCTATGTACTTTATTTTTACATGACAAAGCTGAAAAGACTTTCTCATTAGTTCAAATCTTTGGCTGAACATCAACCTGGTGTTATTATCAATTGTGCCTTCAATGGAGAGAGCCCAGAGAGGCTGCTTACCAGACGGCTTGACAAGCACAGCCATGAAGTCCTGGGTGTAGGAGCTGACGTACAATAAAACACAGGGGGACTTGGTGGTACTGAAGCTGAAGCTGAGCTCTTCTTTATTCAAGTTCAGGTCAGGCTCTGTGGTCTCAGTATCTGGAGAACTCAAAAGTGTTCGGCTCACTAAATCCTTCATGCTAGTCCCTGGGGAGTGGAAGTTGTAACGAAGCCACATTCCCTCTTCAAAAAAAGCTCCAACATCTTGAACGTAAGAAGGAAAAAATAAAGAGAAATTCAACATGCTGACACCTTTTGAATTAAACACATTACTACTGACTTGACCAGTACTAATCTGTGCACGTTCTACTGCTGCATTAAGTGCTTTGCCAATATTTAGGTCAAGAGCCTCACTATTTCCTAGTAGGAATGAAAAGGACAATCTCCACTTTACTGGTGAGTACCTGGATTCACAGAGCAAAGGAAAGATTTCCTTTGTGTCATACAGAAGGTGTCTCCTATCAATACTACAGATGAGAAGAACCATGTGTTAGATTTATTCTCACTGAAGTCTCGAGGTAGGTAATGCTCCAAATAATGAGATACAAGAAAGACATATTTAAGAGACACAATAAGCAAACACTCTCAAGGAGAACAAAAACCAGCAATGCTGACCAGCAAACCTGAGTTCATTTGGAAGGTCCTCACAAAGGAATGATGGCAATTCCAGCACCTGAGATCTGAAATACAATGGACACAATGCTAGGAAGCTATCCACTGCTAGCACAATCCTTCATGGGAACTGCACAACCAGTATGGCCTTATGGGAGATAAAATAAACTAGGGAGCTCAATTCAGTGAGCACAAGGCAAGACACACCTGAACTGTATTCAGAGTAGCTGAGCAGACACAAGACGACAGATAAAATGATAATATATTTTATTGATGCTCCTTTCCAGAATTTTGCTAAAGTTAGTGCTGAAAAAGCTTTATGTTTTCCTGTTACCCTCTAAAAATTCTCCAAATCTCAAAATATCATAGCCACTGTTACTGTGCAGCCATATAAAACATGGAGTCAAGTCGTGGGCCCAAGGTGCCATAAATAATTTGATCACTCTGATAGATTTATGACTGACATTTTATAGGGGAAACCTTAAATCAGGATGAAACAGTTATGGGAGAGGCAATTCACTTTAACAACTATATTTCGCAGTAGACTCAACTTAAGTACTCCTGGATTACAAGTGAAGGGCCCTGTCCTGAAAATACTTCCCCAAACTGTGAAGCCTTCTGCCACTAACAGCAGCATTGAAAATAAGTGTTAGCACTGACAGATCTACAGCAGTACATGCTGTAGCAGTTATTACCAAGACTGGCTTAAAACTATCCCTACAACTGCTAATTTATTCTTCTTCAACCTCTGCTTCTAGCTCACACAACCTGCTCCTTGGGCAGATGTTGCACCAATTGCATGGTTATGGCACTAGCAGGGCTGCTGGCCAGAGCCAACCCTTTTTTCCAGAGCTGTAAATGTGATGAATTGCTACTTCAGATGCTCATTGCTAAAGAAAGCTTTACCTAAACGGTGCTCTCCAAAGGGGTTTCATAACAGCAAAGAATGTCCTGTATGTTTAACTTGATTTGTGCTGAGAAAATCATTTTCAGCATAGCTGTATTATTACAGGCATAGAAACTATTGTAACGAGCCTTGAAATTACCTTCATGTGCACACCACCTCTTTTAAGAGGAAGCATAAGTGGAAGGTTCACTTCAGCTGTGTGAGTGTATTAGGCCCTCAACAGGAAGATATTGAACCCCCTCAAGTTCCAGCTCAGCAAAGAGACTGATGCACATTACATTCTTGGCTGAATGAAGCTGAAGTCCTTGCAGCAGGGCTGCAAAGTGCTCAGCACCTCACAGGAGCAGGCTGTTTAAACTATTAGGAAATACTGCAAAATGCTAAAAGATCATTTTCTCTACACTGAACGTAGCTATAAGATGACTTGGCAATGCTGAGGGCTGATCAATGAAAAAGCCATCTACTGAGAGGTCACAAGCGTACCATCTTCCTGAAGCTCTCACAGAAGGAATACAGAAGCCCTCGATTCAGAAAACCATTCAAACTGCCTAAATAAAATGCAGCACAAACCCTGCTGCTGAAATGTGGCAGAGGTTTCTCTGCATGACCCTCTGCTTTCTTTTGTAATACTTCAAACTCTATCTAAGAAGATGTCTCTTGGGAGACAGCCATGAGGCATAATGAAGGGCCCCTCCGCTAACTGCCCTTTCAAGGCAGAAGCCTTGGAGAAATGGATATGGCAGTAACATCATTTCCTTCAGAAAGCAGCGCCTATTTCTACATCAACATCCAGTAAGGTTGTCCTCTGTTGACAGACTGCAGGTACACACAGGTTGGGCTTGCATTGTAGAGGAACCAAGAACAGGAATTGAGGATCATTTGAAACAATTTGATGAAGCAAGAGGCCTATCCCCAGTGTGAACAGCACATACTTTACAAAACTGTCCAGCTTCAACTGGAAAAGGGATGAAACAAAACGCACACATACCCAGAACTGACAAACTTATTTTGAAGGCTGCAATTCTACGGTCATCCCCCCAGTCCCGCTCTCCCCACTCAGCTACTTGTGATTTTGTACATTCTTCATTCTGCCTAGGTTCAGGAGTATTGAAAGACTGGAGAAAAAAGCCAAATAGCAACAAAACCCCCCGTTTCTCTTATAAAAATTACACAACCTCATAACAGTTCTGGGCCAGTGTTGTAGACCTAAGAGTCCTCATTCTCCTTTGCTGCTGATTTAACAGCAGTGAAATGTCAGTATTGATTCTTCCCTTCTTCGGGTGATTATGATTCTGGTAGCCATACACTCACTCACACCCAGAACTTGTCTTCTTTCTACATTACTTTTTCATCTTCTGTGAAAAGCACTGCCAGTATGGCACACATGTGGATGAGCACAGCTTCAGCAAGATTTTCTATCTGGAGGTGTCTATATAAAAGATACAGAACTCAGCAGGCTTTACAGCAATTGAACTGGTGCTGCGCTGGCAGTTGGGATAAGAATGGTAACAGGGATTGTCATGAATCAAGTGCAAAATAGTACTCCAAATTAAAAAGAAGCAAAAATCCCCTAAACTCAACCAATCCCCAACCCCAACCCCATTTAAGGCCAGCAGCTTTTCAAGACTGGCTCTGTAGGAGGTGGACCTGACTTTTTGCACATCTATTACTGTCTCACCATGGCCGCCTCAGAGTTTTCCAAGTCAACTCTAGACCTGGCTCGTGTCACCTTTCACCTGGGGACCAAGGAGAAAGTAATGCTGGTTACTTCTCTGGTATCATATCCAACATAAGAAGGACATGGACCTACTGGAGTGAGTCCAGTGGAGGCCAAGAAGATGATCCAAGGGCTGGAGACCTGCTGCTAGCCCCTCCAGGCTGAGAGAGCTGGGTTTGTTCAGCCTGGAGAAGGCTCTGGGGAGACCTTAAAGCAGCTTCCAGTGCCTAAAGGGGCAACAAGAAACCTGGAGAGGGGCTCTGGACAAGGGACTGTGGGGACAGGTCAAATAGAAATGGCTTTAACCTGACAGAGGGGAGACTGAGATTAGATACTAGGCAGTTCTTCCCTGTGAGGGTGCTGAGGTGCTGGCACAGGGTGCCTGGAGAAGCTGTGTCTGCCCCATCCCTGGCAGTGTTCAAGGCCAGCTTGGAAGGGGCCTGGAGCAAGCTGGTCTAGTGGAAGGTGTCCCTGCCCATGGCAGGGGGTTGGAACTGGGCAAGCTTTAAGGTCCAGTCCAACCCAAACTATTCTATGATGGTATTTGGCTTTTTTGAGGCTGGGCCTTCAAAGCAATCTTATTAATGGGCAGCAACGGTGTAAAACACTGTGTAAAACACAACAGTGTAGAACACTGGTGCAGACTACAGAGACAAAATCCTGACAACTAGGAAGCCTGACCAGGACACATGAAACACTGCATCAGAAAAAGATTTTCCCCTCTTTGTGTCACAAAGCTGACTGAAATGCTTTCTTACAGCATGTCCCATTCTTGCAGCCCTAAATGCCTCCTCAGCTCTGCTCAGATTTGATAAGCTAAAAATATTACTCTGTGATGCTGCTTGCCTGTGCTCAATGCTATGTGTTTCCTGAAAGGAGTTCTGGATGTAAAAAGCAGCATATGCAAAACCTTTAGCAAGGACAGTCACACTATGCATTTACAAAGAACTGTTAGGGCAATGCAGACAGCTGAACAAAACCTCTTTCCTTTTTTGATTTCTCACAGTTATGAATGTTGAATATAGATTAACAAGGCTTTGCTTGCTGGCTTGTGGCTAAAAAAGTGCTAGAGAGCACCAGAAATTACAGCTATTTCCAGGCTGTGGTCACAAAGATTTACTGAAATACATCCTGGCCACAGGGCATCAGTAAAGGGTCAGAACCTCACAGCTGTGTATCTGGGACAGAATTTACTTTGAGTGCTCTGAAAATAGTAATGCTTATAATTCATCTGGCTAGCTCACTCACTGTTTTATCCTACCTTCAGGCTCACAGTATTTAGTTTTTGAAACCAAGAAGTGGGGATTTAAAGGTTTTGTTCTACACTTTAAAGGCTCATATTCTGGTTGCCATTACTGTAGTAATTTGTGATGCAAATTTCTATTGTCTATGTGTGGAGTAAAATACCAAAATGCAGCAACTGCTTGTTGTTATTAGTGGAATATAAACCTACTGAGTGTTTGCTCCTCCTATATGAATATATCTGTACTCAGTATAAAAAAAAGTACCCTTCTTCAACAAATGAGCGTCAGAATCAGGGGATATGAAAAATAGTGTGCACCAGTGAAAAGATGGGGCCCGATCATAAATCCATGTGACATTTCCCACTACCTTCAGTAGAACAGGATGAGTGCCACCAAAGATGGGGTGAAGCCATGTGATTCATTACACCTTCAAGCCTCCCTGGTCAATGCTGACAGGTAGCTTCCGCAGGGAACCAGTCTGGCATACCCAAGCAAGGCTGAGCTCTGAATCTTCTTTTGCAATAGCCCTGTAATCCAGGTGCCTTTTATTCTACCTTGCACATGCCAAGGAAAGCCTAAAAATGTCATGAAAATCACAGCTGCAGCTCATTATGTACGGATGTGAAATTATTATAGACCTTTCTATGCTAGCCATTTGAACTGATGACTATGGTAGCTGACTCGGAATAAGGGAATGGCAAACTGAACTGTGTATTCCCTGCTG